GAGGAGAGCTGTCCAAATATCAGGAAAAAGGACTCTAAATCCTGCCATCTGAAACTCTGATGTGGCATGCTGCTAGATTCTGAAACAGGCGCACCGGAGCTTTTTGTCCCCAGATTATGAATTACAAGGCATTCCTACTAGAGACCTCTGCAAATGTACTGATTAAACTCCTACTAGAGACCTCTGCAAATGTACTGATTAAACTCCTACTAGAGACCTCTGCAAATGTACTGATTAAACTCCTACTAGAGACCTCTGCAAATGTACTGATTAAACGATGATCCACACCTTAAAAATGGAAGGAAGTGCTCCCTCTGTTGGCTTTCGGATGTAAGACATTCTTATGATTTATATCTGATCTGCTTGTTGCTCCAGAAGTGCTGAGAGCAAGCAGAAGTGATGCAGAGTCAGTGTCACCGTAGAATGTGCTTACGGGTTAAATGTAATAAAAGTTCTTTGTATTTGAACAAATAAAGTTTTATTGTATGTTAACAACTTTGCTGCTGCTGAATCCAAACCTCAGACAAGAAGGCCATGAGAGAATGGTGGTCACCTCATCATACCGTTCCTCTTTTGTTTAAACATTAACCAGGGGTGGTTGTTTTCATTTCCCTGTGCCCACAATGACTCAGTCACTCTCGCCCTGGAGCAAGGCAGGAGCTGCCTCCACTCTCTGCCATAGTGGACATCAATCTTTGAACTATTTCACTAGTTTCAGAGCTTTGCGTGGACCTGAGGCTGGTTGTTCTCAGCCGGTGTGTTGGGACTCACTGAGCTGTGGTTGGATCACCTTACAGGACACGGCCATGGTCAGGTGAGCTCCAGAACACCAACGAGACCCTCACAGAAGCATGTGTTCATTTTATAGAAAGCTTTCCCAGATTATATTCTGTCTGCTTTAAAGGAAAACTCATCAATGTCCATTTTGTTTACCAGCTAGAATAAATGAAGAAAGATGTGATGAGCAGCAAAGCATTTCACTAAAGAACAAGTGAAACAGTCTCCTGAGGGACAAAGAGACACCGGTGATGGAGAACAGTAGAAACTAAAGGCGTTATGTAGTGAACCTGAATAGGCTCTTTTAATTATGTAGAGTAATGGTTTATGCTCTTTTATGAAAGAGGAACCATCCTACATATTTTATAGTTTTAAGAAGACTCAAAGGTTGTTTTCATCGATAAACTGTCGATAATATCCGTGGGTCTGTGTTTCAGTTCAATGAAGAGACAAGTTTGAAAGTTAAAAGATTTAATTCTTCAAATTTACCTAATAATTTTGAAATGACAAGCATATGAAACAACAATCAACATTGGCAACTTTGTTGAACAATCTTTAACAGGTGATATTGTAAACTTGCTCAAATAGACCTTGTTTTGGAGGTGCTGAAGATTGAGAGTGATGTGATGTGATTATGGATGCGTGTGTGCAAAATGTAGTGAAAATTGAGAATAAGGTGAGGTGAATGCGTGTGTGTATCTGATTTTGCTTCAGGAAGAAACAGGTGTCTGAGTGAAAGGGGGGAATGTAACGTGAGGAAATATGGGTTTTCTGTGCCAAAGGTCATTTGACTCGGCTGGGTCAAGAGCTGGGTCGCTGAGAACTTTCACCCACAGATTAAGACTTGAACGCCAGCGAGTCTGGGAGAAACAATAACATCTGAACACCTGCAGTGCCAGAAGATGTGTTCCCATGGAAAAGCTAGTCATAATAGAGTCTTACGCTTCCTTTGTTTATTAATGCTAAATAATCATTTTACCATTTTACTCATTATAAATGTGTTTTAATCAAATGAATGATTATTATGCTTTGGGTAATCATAACTATAATGAATCCATACTTAATTAAATAATGTTTGAAGATATTTTAGTGGTGACCTTCACACACTCAAACACTCACTCACACACACACACTCTCTCACAGTAAACTCCAAAACACATTTGCTGACGCACAAGTTTTGCTTTGAGAAGAGAAAGGCTTTTGGTAAGTTTCAGTCTTATGATTCAGTTCGAGTTGGTCAACGAGAGAGAGAGGACGTGTGAACAACCGCTAACGGGGGAACGGAGTCCACCGGCTCCTCCCCCCCCCCCCCCCCCCCCCCTCCCTCACGCTGTTCCTGCCAAGCCAGACAGGACAGCTGAATTACAACCGCTAACGCAGACTCGTCCCGAGTCTTTTGATTTTCTGAGTAATTAACTTAAGAAAGCGCATCTGCAAACGCTTTATCATCAACGTGTACCGAGGTCATCTCTGGACCGGGTCGCAGCACGCCTTCGTCTTCTCTGCCAGCCGAGGTGTCACCCCTGGATGAAGCTTCGTCCTTCGACGTCCCGGGTCTAAAAGAGGGTCCGAATACGGTGAGGCAGTCCACGACAGATAGCATCTGATGCATCTTTTCCAACAAAACCTAAGTTTATTCAAACCATCACTTTTCACTCAGACACCTGTTTCTTCCTGAAGCAAAATCAGATACACACACGCATTCACCTCACCTTATTCTCAATTTTCACTACATTTTGCACACACGCATCCATAATCACATCACATCACTCTCAATCTTCAGCACCTCCAAAACAAGGTCTATTTGAGCAAGTTTACAATATCACCTGTTAAAGATTGTTCAACAAAGTTGCCAATGTTGATTGTTGTTTCATATGCTTGTCATTTCAAAATCATTAGGTTAATCTGAAGAATTAAATCTTTTAACTTTCAAACTTGTCTCTTCATTGAACTGAAACACAGACCCACGGATATTATCGACAGTTTATCGATGAAAACAACCTTTGAGTCTTCTTAAAACTATAAAATATGTAGGATGGTTCCTCTTTCATAAAAGAGCATAAACCATTACTCTACATAATTAAAAGAGCCTATTCAGGTTCACTACAGTTATATAAAACACCAATAAAATCAAAGTGTCATGGTCTACTTGAGCAGGAGGAGGGTATTCGTGTTTCAGACTCTACATGCAGGCGCTGATTGTTCCACAGACCAGGAGCAGTGACTCCTGTGGGCCGAAATGTTTCAGATCAGCAACGATAGCTTGAGTAAATAAAACGTACTACTTTCAAATGATCATTGATTAGGTGAACAAAACCATCCACAAGGGTTGAGGGTTGAATTTCTGTCTGCTTTACCTTCCTGTGCAGTGTGCTGGAGCAGCCGAGTCGCCCGGGTTCCTTTGATGACTTGGCTGAGCTGTTCCTGCACCGTCTGCAGCAGGAGCCATGGGCGCTGGGTGGCTTCGTGGTCATGGTGGTGTTCGTTCTAGGAGTGCTGTCTCTGGTTCTCTTTGCTCTTCTTTATGGACGCTGCCACGACACGCAGGAAAGGACGCAAGAGAGGAAGAAAGAGCTAAGGGATAATGCAGCGATTTAAACGTGAGCGGGGTGACAGGCATGTGACTTTCAAAGTAAAGTTTACGACTCAAAGGTATGTTCCAATTTTGGAAAATATTTTCACACCAGGGTGTTAAATCCTGCTCTAAAGTACAAATCTAAATGACAACCTCTTGTTTCCTACTTAATTAGAGAAAATAAAATCAGAATAATAATCACAGGAGAAAATATTACCTTCACATCACAACTTAATTTCCTTTTAATGCTTGATTAGGTGATGAGTGAGGATGGTACCAAATATCCAAAACTATAATATAAAGTAATGCAAGCTATTTCCTTTGGTCCCACACAGAGCTGTAGCTTATTGGTATAAAACAAAAAAAAAATATTTTTTTTTTTTGTATTTTTGTATTTTTCAAAATGCATTAGCTTAGCTTATTATTAGCTTGGACAGTAAAAAGAAGAGGTAGCAGAACAGCTGATACTGTTTATGTACCGTTACTTCCACCATGTTTCCCAACCCTAATGCTCACTGTGCACGTGTCTACATGTAACTACTCTTGTATTTAGTGTCTTGTCTTTTTATTTTGCATTCTTGGTCACTTTTGTACTCCTTGGCCATTGGTCTGAGTTGTGGTAACGCACAAATGTCCCCACTGTGGGATAAATAGTCTTATCTTATCGTAATTTAAAGGTGTGAAATTTAAAGCAACGCTGGTAACTTTTGTTCTAGTTTTTTTTTAGACGGCCAAATTATTTTTTTTGTAAAATTTAAATATACTTTATGAAGTCCTACATGGTTCCTTAGCCCACTAGTGGAGGATATAAGCAGTTCCAAATGTATATATACGTTTTTAATTGTTATGTAATTACATAGTGAATTGTGTTATTATTGGAAACTTTCAATATAAAAGGACATTTTTAGTTGTTGTTTCATGTATTTGGCTTTGAAAAGCGAAACATGACCTGTTTAAAACTTCTTTGTGCTTCAGGGAGAATCTGCTTCTGTCGTTGGTTCGGTTTGGTTTTCCCTCAGCTCCCCAGGTGAAGGTGCATACCTGTCCGCCGTCAGCTCACCTGTTTGCAGTCACCATCCCATAGTTCAGTAGCTCCTTGCTTCATCCCTGACTTGTCAGATCCTTCTGTTAACCCCACCCTGTTGGTTCCTGCTTTATTCTGAGTGCTTCAGTTTTTTATTAAAAGTATTTTGGAGTTAACCTGCCTCCTTCTTGGTAGCGATGCCAAATGAAGCTTCATGGGACAATGAGGCGTTCCAGCCCATTGTTTTGCCCAAAGGTTCACCACAAGAAGCTTCGTTTACTTGATCATTCAAGGTCATTGAGGGTTTTGTAAAGGCACTGCATGTCAAACGTTCACTCAGATGACCGTCATCAGCAGCGCCGAAGCCCCACCCACTAGCATCATGCGCTGTGAGTAGAGCACCAGGGTCGAACACTGTGGCGGAGAGGATCTGCCAGAGCTCTGATGAAATAAGCTCTTTGATTTTCTTGCAAAGATTGAAGAAAATCTACATCTTAAATTTATTTGAATTTAAAAACGTATCATTCATAACAAGCTTTTCGCTATGTGTACACAGGAAGTTACCAAACAAACATTTTTTACTATTTTTATATTCCAGAGGCTGCAATTACATATTTCAATTTCATTATAACAGCTCATCCTTGTAACTGAGTGGCAATAGCTAGTAGCTCTACTAATGAACTCTTTAAAGTGCAGTTAACACATGTCAAAATTCATGCACCTGTCCTGTGCATTTATGAACTTTAAACTGCATCGCTGCTCCAACACACCTGAATCAAATGACTTCATTCCCTCATTAGCGTGTCATTCAGCTCTGCAGAGAGATAGTAACAAGTTATTCATGTTTTTCAGGCGTGCTGCAGAAAGAATGCAGGATAGTGGCTCTCCAGGACGGGACCCTGTGCATCTTAACTCAGTTTTTCTGTAGCCCTGGCTTTGTTTTCATAGTTACTCAGGAGGCAGACTACAGCAAAAAAGCTGGTAAGCACTGCCAGCAAGGGTTAGAGGGATGATGGTGTCAAGTATTTTGTTCTCCTTGATGCGTCCAATGACCCTTTTCACATGTATCCTTAACTGTGTAATGTCTGTGTAAGAAGCACTTCATCGTGTGTCAGCTGTAAGTTTATACTGAGAAAAGGCGCCAGGTCATCTACTCTGAAGCCATGGTCCACCATAACGGTCATGTCTTCATCCAGAGAGGGGATGACGCCAGGTCACCTAAACAGCCAGAACACGGTGGTGAAACAAACGTGAGGGCACCTACCACACCTACCAATACTTTCAGTGCACAGTGGGATTTATTCTGTGAAAATATCTCACGCTGTTAGAGTGATGACGAAGGTGTCTGACATCTCATCTCCCTACAGTCAACAATGACTTGGGTATCAGAGTACTTTCCAAACACACTGGGTGTTACGGCTTCAATCGCATCAGGAGACACTGCGCCAAGTAAGGTGTACAGAAAATTGATCCAGGTTCTGATGATTCTGCTGAGGGTCAAATAACAACAACAACAACAATAATAATAATAATAATAATAATGCATTTAATTTAAAAACTGTTTTTTATTGATACCCAAGGACACTTTACAACAACGGGCATAAAATAAAACAAGATAAACACAGTACATAATTATGTAAAGACACTTAAGTTGTTAAAATTTAAATGACGTTAAGAAAACTTAAAACTAGGTGGTAAAAGCTTGTCTGAAAAGGTGGGTTTTGAGTTTTGATTTAAAAACTGGAAGAGAGTGAGTGATGCAAAGGTCGAGGAGAGAATTCCAGAGGTGGGGAGCAGAGCGACTGAATGCTCTACTCCCTATGGTGACAAGGTGAGCAGGGGAGCCGAGAGTTGATGAATGTTGAAACGGTCTCCTATAGAGACAGGTACAGCAGGAACAGTTCATCAATCATCACAAGGCATCAGTTCTATAGCCTGGCCTGACACACTCGTCCTCACAAAAGAAAATAAGGAAGCATGGGGCTGACCAGGCTATCAGTTCTAGTAGAGAAGAGAAAAAAGTGTTTAAAATTAATGCTAAAAGAAAACAGTGTTTTTAAGAGTGTACTTGTCAGAATACAGCTTAAAAGGTAAAAACTAAATTTAAAAAAAAACAATGATGTATAAATGTTCTCACTAGTTGACCAGCTGGCCCCATGCCCTTGTCAGCTGTTGCACTGGAAACAGATGGATGTCTACCAGCACACACAATCCTTGATGCTGCAGGTTCAGTCTGCTGTCACAATTCCATTAGATAGTGGTAGATGATGACTTTTTCACTTTAGTTATAACTAAAACAATACAAGCCTGAAGCTGACGGCCTGAATCTGTGTCTGCAGCGACATCCTTCTCCCTGTGTTTATGTAATAACTTATAGCTTAATAACTTATTTAATCTGTTTATAAATAACAACAGCACAGAGATGGACTGGTCTAAAAACTAACTATCCACTTGCAATACACCAAATCATTTTCATAAAATACACACATGTACAGACAGCGGGCGGAAGCGACTGACCTGACGTTGTTCTGACGTAATTAAGCTGCGACCAAACCAAACGTATGCGACGAACAGTAATGGCGAGCGGTAAAAAGAGTTCTTTGCTGTCGTCTTTAGCCGTCTATGGAGACGATTCAGAACCAGACTCAGACCCCGAACCTGAAGATTTAGGTGTGTTGTGGTACTTTGTCTGCTCGAGTAACAGTAAAACGCCGTCATTCTCAGTTACTAGCTAGCGTGGAGCGCTAATGTCGAGGCTAATGTTTGCTTCTAGCTAACCCAACGCGTCCAGTGGGCTCATTTTATACTACTTATACTAGTTATTTAAACAATGTTGACATCTCAGATAATTAAGAGTGTTTTTTGTCAAAACAGGTGCTACTTCTGTGCGTATCGTTCATGCTTTGTAAGCGGAAGCTGAATGTTTGAATGCTCAAGTGTCTTTTAATCTTATTTAACTTTTAAAAGTGCGGTGTTATGTTGAGAAATGTTCTTCCGCCAAGTTGTTTTAAGCAATGACATTCCAGGACACTTACTGGAACATATAATGCTTTGATCTTGTCTTGGAGGAGACGCGTTATCTTCTCTGATGACTGAATATAACTAGTGGAGATAGTTTAAAGTAAAGATGCCTTTGCCCATTACCCGAACCCATGGAGGAGGAGACGGTGTTTACTGTTCAGAGGATTTACCTGATTCAACAGAACTCTTCTTTTACATGTGCTAACTTCTTATTACTCTTTTATCCCTAAGTATATGAAGCTAGATGATATTGGCATGGTTGAATGTTGTGATAGGTGTAGAAATAATCAATTCTGGTGCTCTTCTTAGATTAAGAGATTTTCTTTGTACCCCCAACTATTGAATATATTTATTTGGATTCCAGTACAGTTGGATTAGGATTTGATTTTAAATATGAGCAAGGCTAGTGTCTGCTGACAGACAAAACCATGTCAGCAGGAAACTGTTGCAGCTATAATGTACTTAAACATTTCTTGATGGAACACCTGTTTGGTTAGTTCTGCATTCAGTCTTAGTGAAATGGATGGGATATAAATACTAGTTACCGTGATTAAAAACAAAATCCAAGTCCTGACGTACCTGTTTGATGATTTCCTCTTTCTGCCAGTGCTGAGAGGAGCTGGTAGTCTCATACATTACTACGGCGATGATGACCTGATCCAAACCAAGATCGCCGATGACAAAAGCTCCGAAGATGAAGACAGCAGAGACAGTCATTCGGTCAGTATTGGAGCTCCTTCTAGTTCAGGTTTTTGTTGTAGTTCACTTGTTTGTGTTTTGTTTTAAACAAAAGTAAATAAAGTTGGGAAGATTTTAACGTTTGCATCCGTCCCAAAACACCATAAGACGTCATATCATAGGTCTTTCTAACATCAGATAGGTAGACAATAACATGCTCATCATCCTTTCATTCAGGCTTTGTACAGCACACAATGGAAGGAAAATTAAGTTTTCGTGTGAAGTGACCGTAGCGTGGTTGATGCTTCATGGTGTTTTACTAATCCTGCTTTATCAGTCTGTTGTTTTCTTTATGTTACCAACTAAAACAGCATTTTAACCATCACCCCAGATTTCCCTGTTCTCATTAAATTTCTCTTTTTTGTGAAATAATTGTAAATTTAAAAATAAAATTATTTCTGGTACTTTTAAAATTGTATTAAAAGTATTTATGACTTTAGTTAAAATTTTGAAAATAAAATAATTCATGTTATTGTGGCACCTTTGGTCCTCCAAGGTCAGGGGTCTTTTCTAATTATTACCTACAGAGTTGCAACAGCAGAGACTCCAAAAATCACTGGTTGAACCAAATAAAAAGCTAAATAAATGAAATTATAATGAAACACAAACAGCTTCAACCCAAATTTTACCACTGATTAGTGTGTGGCTATTACATTTACATCAGTTATAGTGAAAATATTCTAGTAGGTATTATTTTAAGTTGTGTTTGAGTTGTGGAGATGCTCTGGAAACCCCAGAGTCTGCGTTTCCTGGCCAAGCTGCCCATAGGTGTGTGTGTATGATTGGCCCGGCATGACACAAACCACAGCGAAGCAGTTGGCTCTACATGGACAACGCCAATGCAGATGCCATTGTCCTAGCAGGGCCAGCCTGAGCTGACCATGGTGTAAATGGCCATACTTAACAGGAAATGGTATCCCAGATTAGTGTGTAAACGTCTGACCACAGCAGAGTACACCAAGGTAACATGAAGAACGCTGCATATTCCTGTTTCACAGGTGACATTTATTTCTGCTCATCTCTGAAGACTTTTGGAACCGTAGACATAATGATGGTACATTCACAGAAACCGTAAACCTTCATGCCTCAGAGGTGGAATAGTTCATGTTTTCTCTTTCCATGCTCATGTACACGGCACCGTGTGTCAGAGTAAAAATCTATCTTTTTCCAGACCTGGTCAGTTTCACTACTGGGAATGTGTCTGAACCTTAAAACCCCAGTGGTTGCTGTCTGCTCTTTACTCCCTGGTACCTGTCCTTTTCCTCCCACCTCTGATCCTTACAGTGTTAACCCTTTACGTTTTTGTTTTTATAGGAAATGGACAAATCAGACGAGGGGAGGGACGAAGATGATGTTGAGGTATTTGAACAGCTAACTGTTGTGGGTTAGATAATGGTTCTGTTCACTAGATGGTGCTGTGGGTTCACGTCTGTGGTGGAACGAGCTGGCTGGGCTGTTGGACTCAAGTTCCTCCACCACCGATGTTTATGTCTGGAACCACTAGTGAGTGTTTGTTAGAGATCACCACTCTCCTTGTTAACTCTGCGTGTGTGTTCACTGAGGTAATCATTTCACATGCTCTTTCTCTGTCGCTCCCTCTCACCATCTCCATGTCTCGCTCTCCTTCTTTGTGTCCGTCTCTCTCTCCCACTGTCTCTCTCTCTCTCTCAACCTCCAGTCAGAGAAGCTGCCCTCACTTTGAGGCTTGTCGTTACAGTGTCTTTGATAAACAGAAGTCTGATAAGCTCTGAGTGTTGTCTCCTAAATGAGCCAAGTAGAGGAGATAACAGCAGTAGCAATGTAAGCGTTATGCTAATCGTGACACGGTTTCACAACAACTCCTGTTCTTACATGTTATTCCAAATGAAAGTTTTCTGTATGACATGCTTTGTTTCTGGTTGGGGGACTGGATGTTGTCTTAGCCTGTGGCTATTAACAACTTGTGTTTGGTATGGGTGCAGTCTGCTGTAATGATGATGTCTGAAATCATTCATGTTAGATGTAAATGTAAACTCTCTTGTGCTACATCTTTTTAGAGAGGTACAGTAAAATAATTATTTAGAGTTAAGTGGTTTCTGTAGTTGTGTACAGCTCAGTAGTCTTGTGGGTTAATAAATAATAGTTATTGTTGGTCTTGATTCAGTAAAGGTCTGAAATCAGCATCCTGTCACATTAAGGGCGAGCAATAGAGCCTCACAACTGTCTCTGTATGTCAAGGAAATGTGTAATAGTGACGATGCTGATGGGATTTAGACGGGTAAGATGTACTTCCATTGATGTGTTTTGACATTGGCGTGTGGATGATGATGGTATGTGCATGTATATAATTCTACAACATCCATCTTACACCGCAATACTAGAGACACCAATAAGGCTAAAGCAAGCGTGGGTATTTTCCAGTGGTGTCTAACCCGGGCCTTTAAGGTGGACAATCAGACATGTTTTCATGGTTTACCTGATCCAACACACCTGATTACCTGTTGAGCAGCTCACCAAGCTCTGCAGAAGTTACTCACCTACTGATGACACTCAGGGGCCTCATTTATCAAGCTTGCTTACGCACAAAACGGGGTCGGAAAACTGCGTAAGCAACTTTCCATGCAAAATTTGGGATTCATGAAAGAAAACTTAGCGGAAAAATGTGCGCTACTTTAAGTTAACTAAGGACCTGGCTTACACACATGTTGGACATGGAGAGCACCTGCAGCGCTGCTGCTGAGAAGATACAGTTATGAAATCCTGCAGCATTATCACTTGTACTGCTTCGTTTTCATATAGAACAAGATCCCCCACACGCACACACATCCGCACACACTCTCTCACACACACACACATGAGCGCACACACACACACACACACAGCCTGAAGCGCAGAATACTGGATGCAGAATATCAGCAGGGGGACAGATTGAGACAGAACGTCATGCGTCTGTGACAGTGTGTGTCCTGTCACTGTGACCCGCTTGATCATGCGCCCTGGCTACTTGTACAGGGGAGATCTCTGTTTGGCTGACTGGTTAGCACATGTGACTTTCACCCGGGAGTCTGGGGATCTAATCCCGATTGGACCCATTTTTTTATATGCGCCACAGATCTCTCTGAAGAACTCAGCATTGACGGCTTCAGCAACGCTGTGCCACTCCGTGGATTTTCTCTTATTTGTTTTGCAAAAGCACTTCCTTTCATTTCTCCACCTCACCCACAAGTACCTCAACTTCTGCTTGTGTGAAATTGCGCTTCCTTGATCTGCCTTGATCTACGGTCACCATGTCATTGGCGGAGCGTTGCAACAGCCGGATTATGTATATGCATGAGATCCACAAGGCACTTTGCATTGACTATTTATGGCAGTAAGTGGGCGTGGTGAGGGCGGGATGTGACTAAAATGCAGCTGAGAAACATTCTCGTTAGTCTCTGATTTATGAAGTGGAGATTGCGTGCAGCTGTGTGTACTCCATGTTTGATAGATCACAAACCTACTTGGTGTAAGTACATTTTTTTGCTGAGCTCAAGTACGGTTTTAGTAAGGATTCTATGCAATGTTTGATAAATGAGACCCCTGGTGTGTAGGAGCAGAGAAACCTCTGTTGGACGGTAGCCCTGGAGGAGCAGGACTGGACACTATTGAAATACTACAAATGTCTAACAAAGATATTTAATATCTACTAGGACTGGGCGATATGGCCTAAAATCAGTATCACGATATAATGAGGATTTCACCTCAATAACGTTAAATGGACGATAACTACAGGTATGCGTAGAATCAAAGTTCTCCACTAGATGGGGCTGTCACATGTATTACATTGAGTCACATTTTTAGTGACTGGAGGTGGCACAGCTTCCTAAAGGGACATGAATGTTGCCAACCTACACACATTCATTTTTTATTATCAAATGTATTGTAATGGGAAAAAATGATCTCGATAAAAGTCTGAAATTTCGATAGCAATAAATTTTCGATTTGTTGCCCAGCCCTAATATCTACTGATTGAAGAGATATCATGAGTGCCTTATTAGTGAAGTTTGTATGATTACCCAACAGTTAGATTCAGTTTTCCTTTTTTGCTGGTTTAAAATATGAAATGTTTGGGAACCACCACTTGGACCTAGGGGTTGTATCGACTAGTCGACTTCACCGCTCTGTAGTGACTTTTTATGCCTGTCGTCGACTAGTCGCTGTCACGTGATAATGACCGACAAGACGCAGTCCTCGGAAAAGACAGCAGGTGACAAGCTCCTGCGCGTCAGGAGGCAACGCGCTGTGCCAGAGCGTCGGTACCGACACCCGCAGTAAAACGGACATTTAACCAAATTGGGACGTTTACCCTCTTGCAATTTAACCTTCCCCTCACCCCCATCCTGACCTTAACCAGCTTGCGCATGCAAAGCTCTGATCGTTGACGCGCTCCAGACATCTGCGTCCTGAGCACGGCCACAGTAACATTATCAAATCACATGTCGCCACCTCAAAAACTAATTTAACACGCAATCGTTCATGTCGGCTCATTTCCTTTTATGTTTCCTGTCTTTTATTTGTGCCTGATGCGTTTCGCTGCTGTGGAGCGGAGCGCATCACCTGTTTTGTCCTCCGGTGATGCACCTAACTGATGCGGCCGGCGTGCACTCCGCTGTTTTTGCGGTCGGTAGATCTTTTAGAACTGCAGTTCAAAGGTAACTCATGAGGTGAAAATATATGACCCCAGGTAGCAGTTTCTCTTTAGGATTGAGAGGAGATGCAGGAAGATAATAAACAGGCAGGACAGAAAAATAGTCAAATAAAAACAAGTTAGTTTTTGTACCTGGTGGTTGCAACAAACAGACACCATTGAAGGTAATCAGAAGTGAGGAACAGAAAATGAAATAATTATTTTAATGTTTAGAGCAGCAGGAACTCTGAGAGGCTGCAGGCGCATCAGTGAGTTTGCGGCCGCTGCGCAGGGGGAGGGGGGAGAGGGCTGAAGCAGGGGGAGGGGGGAGAGGGCTGAAGCAGGGGGAGGGGGGAGAGGGCTGAAGCAGGGGGAGGGGGGAGAGGGCTGAAGCAGAGCAGTATAGATGCAGAAACTACCGTTGGTAAAAGAAATGTTTAACTTTGAAAATGTGGGCACAATTTTAATTGTCAAAAACTCCAGCGAACCAACCCGCTTCAGGTGTATGACATCATCAACGACTAGTCAAAGTCGACTCGATTTTCATTACTTGACTGTCGACTTAAAAAAAAATTAAGTCATGCAGCCCCTACTTATATTTCTATGTCGATGCTTGGACCACATGCATGTGCCCCCTCCTCGATGTGCCTTCACTGCCTGCCTTTACTCTTTGCTGATACACTCACCACCAGGAACAAAAGTCACACACACTAAAGTTTTGTTTTAAAAGACCTGCATTGTGCTGTTTACACTTACCAGAGCAACATTAGGCACAATATATGATAAAAGGCTACCGCTGGCACTAATGCAATAACATTTTGTCATTACATGTAAATTATCTTCATGAGCCATTATTTCTACCTGGAAATAAAACACTTCCATCAGATCAAACCCTGACACCCCACAGCTGCAGAACCAGAGACCAAAAACCTACCATCCTGTCCCATTCAGCCCTCCATATGTTATATTTATAAAGAGTCTACGCCTCTCAAGTGTTGGTGATGGTGGAATGAGGACAGCTGGACAGACGGCTAGATGACGTGCACAGAGCATGTGAAGGGCATCTAAATGCCAAACAAATGTCAGCTGTGGATCAATAATCAGAGTTTGTTGGCTCTGTCTCAGCAGGAGCTGTATTTACTATACATTGACTGTTTGGGGTTCTGCCAACAGGCTGTGTTTTCAGCCGTTGTCCTCCCTCCTCCTCACCGTTTGGATGGGCTCAGGATCATTCCTGGCGTGCCCTTTGTGTTGCTATGTGACGGTGTGGTTTCTCTGAACAACAGCACTGTTCTGCTGCCTGAACCTGTGTTACCTTCGCAGTGTTGGCACAGCAGGCTGCATATTTTAGAGGCTCCTCCTCTTGTTGAGCCAAAGTATTTGCTGCAAACTGCCTTCGATTTACTAGAGCTTCTCATCTCAGAAACTGTTTTATTACACTGCTTTAGTGGCTGTTTCAGCTCCACATGGAAAAAGCTTAGTGTCTTTTACTGAGCTGTATGAAAATGTTATGTTACTAGTGATGAGCCGATGGGAGATTTTAACAATATGATCACAGTGAACTAGCTAGCTAGAGGGATTTATCTGGGATTTGGCAAAGAAAAACATACGGTGCTCCCGTTAAATACAGAGCTTTTCACACTCAGGCTCTACACGATGCAGAAGCATTCCTCTCTAGAAAGAAAGAAAACTATCTTTTAAATAACGCTTCTCAAGATAAAAATCACGAGGTGCTCTAAGTCACTTCTAAGTTATCATCCGTCATAGGTCTGATGTTAGCTGCAGTCTTTTTGTCACAAGGAAAATTGGCACCCATGGCCTCGCCCAGCTTGACTTGCAAACATTTGCATATCATGACTCATAAATCTGCCCCCCACCCCAGTCCTCTGACAAACCTCTACCACTGAACCAGAAGGAGCAGAGCTTTTTCCCCACAGAAAACGGCACACAAGGCATTCATTCATACTGCAGCAACAACGGACGAGACCTTTCACAAACCCATAGAACCTGTCATAGGTAGATGAGCGCTGTGGGGTTCGTTCTTGGGAAGGTCTGCCGTGTTTGTGTTATATTAACAACTTTCTTTTAAGATTCACTCCTGTTAACATGCTAAGCTAACAAAAGCTAGTTGCTCACTTGTCAGTTTGTGTACACTTACTGGTCACTTTATTGGGTATACCTGTCCAACTGCTCGTTAATGCAAATGACTAAACAGCCATCACATGACAAGATAGACTAGTGTCATTGAACTGTTTGTATCTGCCGGGGTCAGCTCATTGAAAGCTGCTTTAAGAAATTGTATGTATAAATTTATGTCGCCTTAATGTGTCCAAGAGTAGTGTCATCCTAATACTAACACTAGGTATAGTTCCATGCTGTACACTACACTTTTAAAATATGGAAGCACTGGTATGAATGTCTCCTGTAGGATACAGATCTTTGCTGTTTTTATTTTATTTTTTAATGTCTCCCTTGTATAGATTTTTATGTATTCATTGGACCATGTCTCTGCAATAAAGGTTACTTACTTACATGGTGGCAACTCGGTGCATTTAGGCATTTAGACATGGTCGAGGCGATCCGCTTCAGGACGAGGAAGGATGGTAATTCAAGTGACTTTAAGCGTGGCATGGTTGTTGGTACCAGACAGGCTAGTCTGAGTATTACAGAAACTGCTGGTCTTTTGGGATTGTCATGCACGACCATCTGTAGGGTCTACAGCGAATGGTCTGAAAAAGGGAAAGCATCCAGTGAGCGGCTGCTCTGTGGGTAAAAATGCCTTGTGGATGCCAGTGGCCGCACTGGTTCAAGCTGATAGAAAGGCTGCTGTAGACCTGAGACGATAACACATTTTGCTGGGCGATATGTTGTCCAACAAATTATTGACGATAAACAATTTTACTGTCGACATTATCGAGGCCAAAATAACCACTTATGTAATGTTAATGTATCATAATAATGCGAGTACACCTTTCAAAATGCAACAAATAAACCTTTGTTCAATATTGGAATGTCCAGAACCTCGTCTCGTCTCTCGTCTCGTCTTCCTCCGCTTATCCGGGTCCGGGTCGCGGGGGCAGCATCCCAACTAGGGAGCTCCAGGCCGTCCTCTCCCCGGCCTTGTCCACCAGCTCCTCCGGCAGGACCCCAAGGCGTTCCCGGACCAGATTGGAGATGTAACCTCTCCAACGTGTCCTGGGTCGACCCGGGGGCCTTCTGCCGGCAGGACATGCCCGAAACACCTCCCCAGGGAGGCGTCCAGGAGGCATCCTGACCAGATGCCCAAACCACCTCAACTGGCTCCTTTCGATCCGGAGGAGCAGCGGTTCTACTCCGAGTCCCTCCCGAATGTCCGAGCTCCTCACCCTATCTCTAAGGCTGAGCCCGGCCACCCTACGGAGGAAACTCATTTCGGCCGCTTGTATCCGCGATCTCGTTCTTTCGGTCATTACCCAAAGCTCATGACCATAGGTGAGGATTGGGACGTAGATCGACCGGTAAATCGAGAGCCTGGCTTTCTGGCTCAGCTCCCTCTTCCCCACGACAGATCGGCTCAGCGTCCGCATCACTGCAGACGCCGAGCCAATCCGCCTGTCGATCTCCCGATCCCTCCTACCCTCACTCGTGAACAAGACCCCGAGATACTTAAACTCCTCCACTTGAGGTAGGACCTCTCCCCCGACCCGGAGGTGGCAAGCCACCCTTTTCCGGTCGAGAACCATGGTCTCATGTCCAGAACCAGAACTTCTAAATAAATAAAACAAACCCAAAAAAACCCATCAGCAAGGTAAAGAGAAACCTTACCCGTGTTTTAAAAAAAAGAACCAAAAATGGAAACCAAAAATATTTTAATAAGGACTTTCACTCTCTATTAGAAATTATTGCACCAAAAACAATAAAATAGACCCTGTCTCTCTAAAACAACAAATACAATGGCCTATCCAGTGTCAACAACCAAAACTGCACCTCAATAATGATAAATAATTAAAATATTTCTTAAGCTTGATATATTGGGGCTGGAAAAATTATTGAGTTCCTTTTTTTCTATCGTACGATTAATTGATTTATTGATTATCGTCCCAGCCCTAGGCTACAGTAACTCAAATAACCACTAGTTACAATGCAGAAGAGCATCTCTGAACACACAACACATCGAACCTTGAGGCAGATGGGCTACAGCAGCAGAAGACCACACAAGGTGTCACTCTCAGCTAAGAACAGGAAACTGAGACTACAATTTGCACAGACTCACTAAAATTGAACAATAGAAGATTGGGAAAATGTTGCCTGATCTGATGAGTCTCGATTTCTGCTGCAGCATTCAGATAGCCTGGCCTGCCAGACTCGTCCTCTGTTTAATTCTGCACAGAGAGAGAGTCTGGTAACTCACAGGCAGAGAGGCACTTGAGGGGCGGGACTAGGCAGCTCAAAAATAACCATTTGGAAAAAAGACCTAAATGCCGACTGTACCGTGCGACGCTGTAGTAAAAAAAAAGGCATCTGGTAACGAAGCAAACATCTTTCTTTTTTTTTTTTTACAAGAACTGCTTTTAGCGCTCCTACTTGGCAAATAAACCTGTTGATATAATATGTAGATACATAAACTTGTTCATATTCAGTACAAGCTACATAGATAATTTTTGCTTCCATTAGTTGAAAAATGAGAAAAGCCCCTTGAGAAAATAATCGTGAATTAAACCGCAGTTGCAATACTGAAGAACAAAAATCGCAATAAGGTTATTTTCCAAAGTCGTTCAGCCCTACAGTCATGTCGATATGGACCAAAGTCTCTGAGGAATGTTTCCAGTTCCTTGTTGAGTCTATGCCACAAAGGACAAAGGCAGTTGTGAATGCTCATACTGGACCGGGAAGGGAATCTATTAGCACATTAGCCCCACCGGGCATTTTCTTCATCAGCTGCCATTGGTGTCTTTTCTCATTTCTGACTATAACCACAGTAAATCCAAGGGCTATGTAGGCTTCATTGTACAAGAAGCCCAAAGCTGCGTCATCGCCGAATCTTCTCCCCAGCGTAGCTGCTACCTACTACATGGCCAGATTAGTAGTTTCTCCACCTTTAGTGCTCATTCTGTCATGTTGGTAGAACGATATGAAGCTCGCTAAAGCCAGCCATTTTACTTCTTCTACTTCTCTGTTTTTGGTTCAGTGATGTCACTTTGGTGAGTTGAGCATTTGTTCTCTACGTTTATTCACACAAAATCTAAGTAACTTGCTGCCTGTTAAAAAAGCGCTTTGTTGGCATCAAAATGTGTCTTTAAAATCCACGGACATCATATATTAAATCCATGGCACATATCAAACGGATCAGAAAGTAACCTTAATAGACTTGCGTTAGCTTTTCAACAGCGGAAGTAGATGGGCGTGGCTTAGCTCCCCATTTTCTGGTGTCTTTCTGCTGGCCACCATCTCCTGCTCTGGGGCCTTCGCTGTTCCCTCCATCAGCTCTGTGAACCAGTGACTAACTGTGTAGGCTGCTGGGTTTAACAGGCAAGTGCTGATGCCACCGAGTAACTGCAGGCTGGTTTATCATCCAAGCATGAAAACACAAACTAAAAAGGTCCTCCACTATAAATAGTGGGACACTAAATGAAAGGTACTGCTCTAAATCTTGAGTTTACTTCTCAGAGGCTTTTTAAGACCTCTGCCTTTTCCCATATCTAAGCACCAGTGAGTTAACAATTCAGTCAACATGTGACCTAAACCCTACATGTGTGTTTGTCTCTCCTCCCCCTCTCTTTGATTGCAGATCTCTGAAGCTGAAAAAAGGGATCCCAAGGAACTCGTTGGTGAGTAGAACAACCGGACAGCAGATCTTAATACTTGGTAAATGGTCTGTATTTGCATAGCGCCTTCTTAGGGTTCTGCAACCCCCCAAGCCGCTTCACAACACCATCAGTCATTCACCCATTCACACACACATTCATATGAGCTACGATGTAGCGACGGCTGCCCTGGGGCGCACTGCCAGAGGCGAGGCTGCCGTGCATGGCGCCACCGGTCCCTCCGACCACCACCAGCAGGCAAGGCGTGTTAAGTGTCTTGCCCAAGGACACAACAGCAGCATTCTCTGGTCAGAGCCGAGATGGAACCTGCAACCCTCTGATTACTGGACAACCTGCTCTACCTCTTGAGCTACTGCTGTTCCGATTTCTACCACCAACCAGTGCAGGGGATCACAGAGTACCCAACTTCACACTTCCTATTACGCTGACGATGTTCTGGTATAGAACCGTCTGCCGAGCTAAGACGCAAAGCTCCTTTCTCCTCTTTGGTTGTTAAAACAAAACAAGCAGGTTTACAGCCTAAAATTACCAACAGTATGTTTTATTTGTTTGTTTTTTACATCATTTTCTACAAATATCAATAAGATTTGCACTCTGTAAAAGTTTTATTCTTTTCTTAAATACCACGTATTTTACTTACTTTTGAAATATATTCAGTTACTTTGAGTTTTTCATGCAGGCTAAACATGAAAATAGTCTTCCACCCCTATTTCCTGCATTAGACGCCGATAAACAATAGTGAAATGCTCAGATTTGAAAAGCCAGTCAGATCTACATGACACTGAACATTATCATTCATAGACTCGCCCTGTTGGCCCTGATGGGGAAGGCTGTTGTTGGTTTAGTATCCAGGAAATGGCAGAGAACATCTCGTCTAGTAGAAGCTAACTGCTGGCATTAGCCACTCCACCACACAGCAGAACTCCTCCAGGCTTGTGTTATTTAAGATGAAACAAAAACTTTGCAGAGCAAACGAGTCAGTGGTAGTCACGCTACAGTTAAGGCTCCAAAGCCTGCTGTCTTCAGCTCACCGCTCCTCTTGCTCACTTCTAGTTCCTGGAACAGGAGTGCCAGGGGACATTTTCCACCACAGAGAGGCATGTATTTATACTAGAGACCACTGCAAATGTGCTGAAAACACATGTGAACTCGGTCTTTATTTTAAAGCTTAATATTGGAAACAAAAAGGTCAGGGTTTTTTATGACAACAAATCTCGTATAGAGGATTTTTATGGAGGAGGGAGAAAATATTTCTGACTTTAATCTCAGGAAAAACGGACTTTAATCCAAGAGTTCTGAGAAAGCAATTGTACCATTGTGAGTGGCTCTTTCCCTCTTCCATGGATATTTATTAAAAACAGTTTTAGTTGTAATTTAACTAAAAGGCAGTAAAATGAATCGGGTTTCTTACATGAACTAGTGAATATTGTCTTCATGAGACATCATTAGGTTAACGTGCGATAGTCTCCACCCAGACGAGGGTCGGCATGAACCAGGTTTCTGCAAGGCCACTCCCTGCATCACTCATATATCCTGTTTGATCTGGTGCCTGGTGTCACTTGTTCTGGTGAGAGATTACTCACCAGATTCCTGTTGGGCCTGCATGGTCCACCTGTGGGTCTGTCCGTAACGACTCTGATTCAGACCAGGCCTGGCTAATGAATCACCCCACCAAGCTAACAACTCAACACTTGTGTATTTATGCTACACACCTACACACAGGTGTTCCACCTCTTAGTTATTAACAAGAGAAGCTTTCGGACCACTGCTAAATATACTTAAATACATCAGATCTATGTCAACATTTGACCCTCATCTGCAGGTGAGCAGATTCCTGGTCATCTGAGTATAGAAGATCAGTGTTAGTAGCTAATGATTTAGTTTTTCTTTCTTATGAGCACGAGACATGTCACGTATCTCTTCCAGTTTACAACAATATCAGAAATTAGGAGTGAGATGATATCGACTGTCTGTAAAAAAGCCAAAATCAAGCATCCCTACATGATGACTAGGGTTGGGTTTCGAGCATCGATTGGAACCGGGACCGTTAGTCTTTCCCAGAATTGTTAAAAGTTTTTTATTTCGATTCCTAGAATGCCGACGGAAGAGGAATCCGCGGCCGATCTCCGTGAAAAATAAACAGTATCTGCGTGTTGTGATCAATGCTTTTCAGAGCTGATCACACCAGCTGTCTGTGAAGGTTATTAGCAGAGTTACCAGCAGGTGTCTGGAAATGCAAACTAAAGCAGCTACCTTCCATTCATTATTGGTATTTATGTTTTAGTGACTCACAGCCCATCCCTGACTGTACCTATGGCATCAGAGGTCTCAGGGGGACCCAGGCTGCCGCTGAGCTGGAGTGTCAACATCATAATGTACGTGTGTGTGTGTGATAGTCACCTGTCAGGTCCCGCTGTGATGTCAGAGGCAAAGGAGCCGCACGTGTTTAAATAAAACCATAAATGTACCCGACATGCAGCGATGTTGACATGGCCTGTAATTATATCGAGTCCTTCAATCCCCAAAGCGCTTTACAATACACCAGATATTCACACACTGGTGATGAGCCGCATTGAAGCCACAGCAGCCCTGCGGCTAGCTGACCAAGGTGGAGCTGCCTGGGCACCAGCGGCAGGTAAGGAGGGGCATAAGAATGGTTTACCCCCACAGGTCATGTCAGTAGGATATTAAAATGACTAAAAAGCTCAGTGTGAATGTTTCCACCTTACTCTGGGCCTGAACAGAAGGGCTCCACCACAGGATTGTTGTCCCTAAATGTCACTTGCTGTCTGGCTCCAA